TTACATCAATTATTACGTCCTCTGACCGGACGTAGAGCTACCTTCGGCCGCCAGTAACATGTCTCCACGTGTTCTTACTCTTTACCACGCGGCCCGACGACTTGACCCGTAGCGGAACCCGAAAGTTCGCGATTTTCTCGGTATTGATCAGTATTTGGTAGGTATTGCTTTCAGCCGGAACTACAACTCACGCAACCCTCACTTCTCCACTACGGCAGCTTCACAAGCAGCCATTTCCCAATCTCTGTCAACCAAGCAACGTCTCCTCCCAACGCCTCAAGTAGCTCTTCACGTTCGATCTTCCCTTGCGATCTCAGCCCTTATCCGACACTATACTGCAGCCTAAAGTCCATAAGCCTCCCTTCTGTTATCCTGTTCAAATCTCAAGGCGTAACTCCAGTCTAAGTTCCCTTCAACTAGCCTCCAACCTCTTCGTTCCACTGCTTCTCACCACCAATCTGGGTTTTGATCAGTATTTGGTAGGTATTGCTTTGCAAAAACGAAAAAAACCGCTCTGTGGAGACCAAAACCATGCATATACCTAGTTGTACCGAGTTTTTCTACAACTCGGTATTTGCTCAGGATTTGCTCGGTATTGCTAGAAAAAACTCGGTACTCGGTACTCGGTACTCGGTACAACTCAGTATTTGTTCAGGATTTGCTCGGTATTGCGGCGGCGGGCGCGAGGCTGGTGGTTCTTAGAAAAGGCGAAATGGAGCTATTTCTGCAATTCGGAACGGCGGCTTCAGACTTGATCATCTCTTAAATTTTAAAAAAATGCGCGTGCGAGAACCCAAAAAATAGCGGGTTGGGTCGACGACTTTTCTTGATGCTACGTGGCGCTAAAACATTGATGGCCGAACGTAGAGGAGCGTACGTTCACCGGACCAAATAAAAGTTCATTCTAATATAAGTCATTGACTAAATCTATCTAAAGGAAATGACATGTTTAAAAGGGCCCTAAACTTTTGATAATTAAGACTTCATACATGCAAAGATGGATCTTTTATTTTGTTGCAATGAATTAGAGCATATATAACTCCACGTCTCTTTTAAATTTGGAGTTTTTCACAAAGATTCACTTCACTATGATTTTTCTATCTCCTTCGTAAATCGAAAAAAGAAATGATTTTTTTTGCCGATTGGTTTTGTTGGATGCCTTGTAGATTGTTGGCAATGTTGTGGGGTGGTTGTTTTTTGTTTTTTTTCGGACTATGATGAGGCATGCTTCCTGCATGCCCCTTTGAAAGGCCATGGCTTGTTTTGGCAACCTTGGTTGTTCCTTCATCTATGTAATTATGGGTGTCTTTCGTATTTGGATCTTCTTGCTGATGTTTATTCTTTCTCCAATGGATGGTCCAAAAAGCTTGGCAATCGGGTGGCGTTCTTAGTCCGACACTTTGGACTACTTATGCTTTCCAATTTACTTTACATTTTGGAGTTTAATGTGGTTTTTTCAGCTTTGTATTTTTATTTCTTTAGCTTTTTTTTTACCTTTTGGTTGTATGTCCCTTTTCTTCTAAAATAAAATCTTTTTTTTTTTAAAAGGGGTAATTTTGTAAATTAAAAATAAGTGTATAAACATCATAAAAATGTAAAATCAAATGCATTACTATTTAAATGAGCATAGAAATAATATAAAATTCAAATTTGATTAGAAACTCAATACCAAACTTCAACTCAAACTTGACATAAACCTCAAGGATTTTTAAAATTTAAAAATTTCATAAATGATAAATAATTTTAAATGAATCTTGTTGCGGACTAGAATATATGCGGCGATAAAATTAGAAAGTTTTCGTCTCAGCTTTTCATGGATATCCAGCACACAAATAGAAGAGAAATAAAAAATATCATGATTTTTATGCAGAAAACCTTGAAAAGAGGAAAAACCACGTGGTCACGTCTAGTTGAAATAATTCCACTAGTATTT